CAGATAAGAAGACTGATCTCCTAAACCCTTTCACAACGGGAGGTTACCCTAAGCTGAATAAAATTGTCTGGCGGTAGCCAGAATAAAATGTCAAGTTGGTGACACTCTGTGAAAGGGATAAGGCAGCTAAGGTAGCAGATGTCTTTGCACTAGTCCATCGCCACACCCCTGGTGAAAAGAAAAAGCCGCAAAATGTACAGTCCTCTGCAGGTTCAAAACCGGGCCCTGTAGATAAGTCTAGTGGATGGAGTCAGCTAGGTGTTTGGAGCAAATTACCAATTTGTTGATTCTACAAGAAAGAGGGTCATGTAAATAGAGAGTGTCCTCATCCTAAATGCATAATTTCTAAGGACGCAAGCCTTACTAAACCAGTGGCCTCAGTTAACATGCCCAGCATTAATTTTCGGGAGAATATTTTCAAAGCTTTCAAATCAATGGGAACAGTTTCGCACTCACCCTTAATTCAAGGAAACATCCAGTTCTGGTTGTTAGAGACACTGTAATCGTGAGGAAGGCATTTCCAGACATTCATAAGTGTTTCACAGGGAAAAAGGGGATATCTAAAAGGACTGACATCCACAATTCCTATCTACGAATCAAAAATTTATCGAGAGTGTAATGTTGTACAAGGTACAGTGATTATGGGTGTTACAAACTCAGCATTGCCAACACCTGATGCAACTCTCCTCCTGAGAAATGACTTGGCTGGCAATTTGGTTGTTCCCAGATTGAAGGTTCAGAAATCTCCTGCAGTACCTCAGAACCAGAATTGTGATTTACTCACTCAACTCATGACCCCTGAAAAACTGATTGAAGCACAAATGACTGACTCAACATTCGCGAAAATTCCTAACGAAGGTGTTTATGAGGAAGAGATAAAGCCCCTTCTTTCTACTACATGGACGGTATTCTGCTTAGGTTCTATAGACCATGGCACCTAATCTGTCGATTGATACTTGGAATGAGACCTGTCAGGTAGTATTGCCAATGTCAGTTAAGAAGACTGTGATTGAGATTGCTCATGAAGCGTTTGGTGGACACCTCGACATTAATAAGACCTACCGCAAATTGTTGCAGGATTTTTATTGGCCTAAAATGAAGAGGAATGTATCAGAGTTCATAAACTCTTGCCAAGTTTGCCCAAAACAGGAAAGCTTTGTCGGTCAATTCCCTCTTATCTATTACAAACCATTCCGGTTCCCTCAGAATCTTTTCGGAAAATAATAATTGATTGTGTGGGTCCAATGCCAAAAACTAAGAAAGGCAACCAGCATAATCTGAGGCGTCCCACATCGTAAGATGCATTCAGACCATCTGGGCGAAACCCATTTTTTGTTGTAAAGCACTATTTTCAGCCAAGCTCTATACGATGGTAGTTGACAAGATCTCCTTACTACACTGTAAATAAGGTTGAAAGCCCTTTGAAAATAGGGTAGAACATCGATTTGTGGCAGACAGGAAATTATGGGCTTGACTTTTGCGTCGTAAAGTGCTCTCATCCCATCAGTTAGTGAGTGAGAGGAACGGGCGGCCAATCACAACAGCCACCCTACAGCCTCCTCCCCCGTCTCTGCCAATGACAATGAGCATCTGCTATCTAAGTCACGGCCCTCCAGCTGGTGAGATTTACATTCTGATATCGATTAAAGTAAAAAAAGCCATAAGCGGGTGGGAGTTTTGTTGCTTCAAGTCAACATTGCAACAACCCAGTACATTACTTCATGGACGTACTACCTACCACCTGCAAGTACAGCCCTGTAGATTCAAAATGCATCAAAAAGGAATGCTGTATCTAAAAAAAAAACAAGGGTATACATGTTTGAAGTTGGAAAAACTTTAAACGCTGTTTTCTCGGTTTCAAATTTTGGCGCGAATAACCCATACGATGCAGGGCGCCTCATATCTTAACCAGTGTCGCACTGCCAGGTATCCAGAGGCTTTCCCATTAAAGAACATCTTTGCTAAAACTATTATTAAACATTTAGTGCACATGTTTACCACTTTTGGTATTCCTCAGGAAGTACTGAGTGATCGAGGTACCAACTTCACCAGCGACCACTTCAAAAATGTATTCTAAGAGCTGGGCATTAGGCAGACCCTGTCCACCGCTTATCATCCGGAGTCACAGGGAACCCTAGAGCGGTGGCATCAGACGGTAAAGTCCATGCTCCACAAGTATTGTTGTGAACACCCGGAATGCTGGGATGAAGGTTTGGATTATGTCTTTTTTGCTATAAGAGAAGCCCCTCGGGATTCTCTTAACTACTCACCTTTTGAGATGCTGTTTGGTAGGAAGGTTAGAGGGCCTTTGAAATTAGTTAAAGAGAGATGGCTTAACCCTACTTCTGACCATACTACCACAGCGTCAGATTACCTTAAAAGACTTTAAACCATTTTGAGTATAGTACGCCAACTCGCAAAAGAAAACCTGTTAATATCTCAGACAAATATGAAACATCACTATGATAAACATACCAAGATTAGAGAGTATAGTGTTGGAGACAAGGTACTACCCTATTTCCCTATTCCTGGTTCTCCAATGTCACCAAAGCACCATGGCCCGTACGTAGTGCAGAAGAAAATTAATAAAGTTAACTATATCATTTCAACACCAGAACGTAAAAAGGCCACCCAGCTAATCCACATAAATTTACTCAAACCCTATCTAAGAAGATGAACTTCCAGAGGACTCCCCAAAATTTCCTTGTAACATTATAAATACTGTATATACTTAGGATCCAACGACTCCATGACGTGGTATGGAAAACTCAGAAATTATCAACAACCTAGCGTGGTCCTTAGGACATCTGACCCCAAACCAAATCAAAGATGTGGCCTCCGTAATTCAAAGTAACCCTATAGTATTCTGTGACACCCTTGACCATTGTGCAATAATAAAATATGGTGTTGAATTAACACCTGGAGCCCTTCTTATACGCCAGGCACCCTACAGACTCCATGCCATGAAACAGCAGTAGATGAGAGATGAGTTGGATTACTTGTTGAAGAACGGCCTGGCAGTTCCGAACAGCTCCCAGTGGGCTTCTCCTTGCCTCCTTGTGCCCAAGGAAGGTGGCCAACTACGCCTATGCACCGACTACCGCCGAGTTAACTAGGTGACTGTTCCAGATCACTATCCCATACCAAGAATAGACGGTTTAATTGATTCAGTTGGTCACTTTAAATTCATTTCAAAACTAGACTTACTTAAAAGTTACTATCAAGTAAGACTGAAAATGCTCAGTCAATCTTGGCATTCATACCTCCTTTTGGCCTCTATCAGTATCTAGTTATGCCTTTTGGGATGAGGAATAGTCCAGCCACCTTTCAAAGACTTATGAATTACCTCTTGCAAGACCTCGAAGGTGTTCATGTGTACTTGGACGACATTCTGGTCCTTTCAGAGACTTGGTCCCACCATCTAGTACAGCTGTCGACCGTCCTGCAGAGGTTGGAGGAGGCGCACCCGACCATCAATCTGGCCAAGACCACCTTCTACAGAGCTACTGTGACCTACCTCGGACCAAAGAAATCCAACGTCGAAGCCATCCTGAACTACCCTACCCCTACAACTCGGAAGGCTCCCATGCGCTTCCTGGGCATGGCGGGATTTTACTGTCGCTACTGCCCTAACTTCGCTGCTGTCGCCGCCTTCTTTGACCCATCTCACCAGTGGGAAAGTCTCCTTCCGCTGGACTACTGTCTGTCAGGACTCATTTGAACAACTGAAGCAGTTCCTGGCCAGTGATCTTGTACTGACGTCCCCTAACTTTGATCTCACTTCATCCTTCAAACCGACGCCAGTGACCATGCTACAGGGGCCGTTCTACTGTAGGAGGATGAAAAAGAGGTCCTGCATCCTGTCGCCTATTACTCTGAAAACTCAACAAACACCAACTGAAATACAGAACCATTGAAAAGGAACTAATCAGCATTATCTCTGCAATAAAAAAGTTTGAGTGCTACCTATATGGCACTCGACCCCTGCTGATTTATAAGGTTCCCAACTCTTTGACTTTCTTAGATCGGAACAAGTTTTCAAACCAGCGTTTGCTCCGTTGGTTCTTATGTCTGTAACCCTACGACATCACAATACGGCGCATCAAAGAGAAGGATAACTTATTAGCCTACGCAATATCGAGAACCAGCTCGTCGGGACATCATCTTCATTTCCATAGCCGAATCTTCCCAAGAAGATGCGACTTCACTCTATCACCAAAACTACCACTTGCTCCAACTTGACACCAGGAGAATAAAATGCTTCACAAAGCTACTCTACCCCAGTGAGCACCGATTCAGAACCAGTTTCCCATCCGACTATGAGACCGAGGTATCGAGACAAGTGTGTTTGCCTGATAAGCTCGGTCTCTTCTCTGGGGCCTACGGTGTTCCTCTTCTCCTTTGGTTTGATGGTAATGGACTACGGTGGTAATCCCTGATTCCTTGTGGGTGGCCATCGCAACCTAGACATGCGACCTGAGCTATCATTTCTATCAGGTTTTTGTGTTGTATGTAGTATGTGCATTTAATGTTGAAAGTAAGAATAATTAGGCAATATTTTGGTGTTTTGATAATTGCATATGTGTGTTATGCAGTGTACCTAATTAACTATATTAATCAATACTTAATAATATAAATGCTATTAAATTACTCAGTTTACTTAATAATCTTCTTATCCCTTTCATAACTTAAATTTGTCTGTCACGATAACAGTGATTCTTGTGTGAGTGTTCCTTACTTGCTGCATCCACGTATTTCAACCCCTAGATTATTCGCTTATTATGTTAACTTGTCAACTTTGCCTTTCCTCAATGTTGTGGGTAGCACGGAGGGATATCACAACAGATAAAAGAGGATACAATGGTATACAGAAAATACAGGGGAGACAGGAAGTTACAGAGGATACAAAATATACAGATTATACAGTATTATGAATATTAAAGTCTCAGTACAGAAGAAGACACTACTCTAGCTAAGGTCACGTAGTGCCTATTTTACAGCTGGGTCGACTAAGGGTGCCCCGGCCACAAACCTGCGATACTTCGGACAGGATGTGAAGGGATAATAGTACCCCCTCGTCTGCCGCACCGATACCTGAACTCTGGATCACAGTACCAAGTAAAAGCACAGATCAGTCTCTCACTGCGAAATTCTACAGCACCTATCCGAGTCTTACGCTTTTCATTTCATAAATGTGCGAAGACTTCTAAGATTCTTCTATAATTTGAGGTAAGAAAGTAAGATTCAACTGTCGTAAATGAAATTATATCATATACTGTATGTGTTAAATATCAGTTTCCAAGTCTTAATTAATGGAAAATGTAATGAGAAGAAATAGTTCAGGATATACTGCATGTAGACAGAGCTTGTTATTGGGTGTTTAATAGTTCAGGATATACATACCCAGAGCTTCTTCTTGTGTGTATAATTGTTCAGGATATACATTAACAGAGCTTTTTCATGTGTGGATAATAGTTCAGGATATACATAGACAGAGCTTCTTCTTGTGTGTATAATAATTCAGGATATACATAGACAGAACTTCTTCTTGTGTGTATAATAGTTTAGGATATACATAGACATAGCTTCTTATGTGTATAATAGTTCAGGATATACATACACATAGCTTCTTCTTGTGTGTATAATAATTCAGGATATACATACAAAGAGCTTCTTCTTGTGTGTATACTCGCTCATAGAACACTATGTAAAATTGTTATACAAGGTTTAATAAAATGAATTTAAAGCAAGAATTTTAATTTTTATTCTTTCCAATTCTCTTTATTTTTTATGTGCTTGTGTGTGTGTGTGTGTTCGCGTACGTGTGTGTGCGCGTGCACAGAGTGGTGTAATGCGTGTAGTGTGACAGCTTTATGTTAGTGTTAAGGTGCAAGCACTATTTGCTTCCATTCGCTATCAGCTACCGCCACAGGCTAGCCTTCATGGCGAACATGAAAGCAACTTCGCAAAAGTCCTCCTCTGCCAGTACACAACATCTTCACCATCAAGACTCCTGCTGTGCCTCCTCGTGGCAACACACGGTAACTGGGTGTCTCGTGGACCTAAGGTAGACCAACAGGGGATCTCGGAGTAGCAGTGGGCCGCATGGGGACGGTGCATAGGCCCACTGGCATGTGGACACGTACTGGCGCCTGCCAAGCATTGCCCCGCTGCCTTGCGGACTAACCTTGGTAGGTAAAAGGCTACAGTAGTAAACCCCGAATGAAAAATATGTGGTGGAGCCTCACATCAGGCAGACATGCTTACAGAGCTTCAGTAAGAACCCAAAAGCGGTATAGGCGGAAGAGGTGACCAACATGGAAACCCAAAGACTACACCAGCGAACAATGGACAGGCTACTAAGGAGAAACCCAACAAACTGGGCTATCGGCAATCCATTGCAACTCTACCTTTCCCAGTCGTTGCAACACTTGCACCACTGGATCAGGAAATGGGATAGCCTGCGCTACTACGTCACCCCATAAATAAACTCACGTGCAGCCATCATCCAGCTCATCATACTTCTCATCATCAAAACCCCTATACCCCGAAAAGTCCTATGGCGGCGGACGGGTGGCGACGGGGACAGGCAGAGATAACTGCCGTGAGTCTCTAGTCACAACTTTGCACATAGGCTGCATAGATAAGATGGTTGTTTATGCACTGGGATCTAGGCAACAGTGCAATCCAGTCCTGTCTGTGCGACTGAGCAGCCCTTTCAAGGAGCCACTTTGCTCACCCCACATGGGGAGGGGACTAGAAGAGATTCCCTAAACATAGTCTGCCTAAAGAACCAACTTGATTGGGCAACCGCACTTGGTAAGGTCATCCTTATGCGGTTGAAAACACAATCATAGCACAAGTCAAAACAAAAACAAACTATACAACCTCTTATGGTCTCTGCATTGAATGTCAGGACCCTTCTGGATACTGTCACAAATGAGCGCCCTGAAAAAAAAACCGCCCTTGTGGCAAAAGAGCTGGCTATGTATAACCTTGACATAGCAGCCATTAGTGAGTCCAGGGCTCCCAGACGAGGGTCGACTCACAGAACAGGAGGCTGGCTATACCTTCTTCTGGAAGGATAAGCCTGCTGAGGAGATAAACCGCATTTACGGAGTTGGCTTTGCCGCCCGCCAATCCATCCTACATAGGCTAACTGAAATACCTGTTGGGATCAACGAACGCCTTATGACGCTCCGAGTCCCACTGAATCACGCACGTCATGCCTTCTTCATCAGTGCATATGCCCCAACACAGGATGCAGAGGATGACACTAAGGAGGCCTTTTATGCTGACCTTGACAGAATGCTAACCTCTATCCCTAGAGAAGATACGGTTATGCTCCTTGGTGCCTTCAATGCCAGAATTGGCAGAGACGCTGACATTTGGCAGGAAATCATAGGGAGAAATGGACTTGGCAAGTGTAATCCCAAGGGCCTACTCCTCCTCAGCAAATGTCTTGTACACAACTTTACTATCACCAATACCTTGTTTAGGTAGGCCGACAAGTTCAAGGGTTCGTGGCAACCCCTACAATCCAAACACTGGCATCTCATTGAGTACACCATTATCAGAGAAAGAGATCGCCGAGATGTCCTCAACACAAGATACTCGAATTTTTCAATTCCACATCAACATTTTATCGGACAATCACTCATGGCACAGCCCCCCTCCCCCTTCTCTGATGGTAACTCCCTAATTGAAAACGAAGAAGGCATCCTTCAGCACTGGAAAGAGAACAACTATTCACTGTCAACCATAACACCGATGTGGATGTCCTGACTGCCCAGCAGGTCCCTCAGCATCCAGAGGTAACCCACCTCATCTATCCTACATCCCTGGATGAGGTAGCTACTGCCATCAAACTGATGAAAAATAACAAAGCCTCAGGGCCTGATGGAATCCCAGCCGAGGTCTGTAAAACAGAAAGACCTCTCCTTACCAGCCATCTCTTCTCTCTCTCTCCGGGAGAACATATGGGAAAGGGAGGAAATCCCCCATGCTCTTAAAGACGCCTCCATCGTCAATATTTATAAGAACAAGGGAGACTTGTCAGGGCTGTGGCAACTACCGCGGTACCTTGCTGCTGTCCATAGCTGGCAAGATTGTAGCCCGAGTCCTCCTAAACAGACTTCTTCCTGAGACGTATAACTTCCTCCCAGAATCTCACTGTGTCTTTACACCATTACGTGGCACCACTTACATGATCTTGGCCTTCATCGACCTAACCAAGGCCTACAACTCGGCAACAGGGAAGCCCTCTGGCAGACCCTCAGCCATTTTGACTGCCAACCAAAATTCATCACTATTGTGAAATAACTCCACGATGGCATAAACGGCAGTGTCCTGCACAATAGATGCTAGTCTGAGTTCTTCCCCATCCAAACGGGGGTAAAACAAGGATGTGTACTGGCACCATTTTTCTTTCCCGTTTTCTAGGCTGTCTTCCTTACTCGTACCAGTGCCAATTCAGCAGGCGGTGTGGATATCGCGTACCGGATGAAGGGTCTTTTCAACATAAGATGACTCCAGGCAAGAAATAAGATATCGACAGCTTCTATTACTGAATACCTATGCAGATATGTATGCATATTTCGGCCTTGAGATGAATCTTTGCAAGACTCAGATTATCTTTCAGCCTGTCCCTGGTTCAGCCACACCTCCACCATCCATCCAGCTTAACGGTACTACCCTATTTAATGTTACCCACTTTCGGTATCTTGGCTCCCACCTGTCCACCTCTGCGGACATCGATGAAGAGATTCAATATCGGATCAGATGTGCATCTCAAGCCTTTGGCAGACTCCGTACCCGTGTCTTCAGCTGTAGGGGGTTGAAATTATCTACAAAGTTGCACGTACATCGAGCAGTGGTCATCCCCACCTTGCTACATGGCAGCGAGACATGGGTCACATATAATAGGCACCTCCAGGCAGTTGAAAACTTTCACCAACGTAGTCTACATTCCAACCTCCGAGTAGGAGCATCAAGGCTACTATTATCCATGAAAAACTACGCTGGACTCGCCATGTTTTCCGCATGGACGACAGTACATTGCCAAAGCAGCTAATTTACAGTCACCTAACGAATAGTAAACGTAACGCTGGCGGGCAACTGAAAAGGTGCCAAATCGACCCCCCTCACCTGGGAGACAATTACTCCACACCGTAATGCTTGGAAGAGCACCACACAAGAAGGTGTCAATACTTTCGAGTTAGCCCGACTGCATACCGAGGCAAACAAGCGCCAACGCCAGGAAGACGCTGCCGCCGCCCCTCCCGCACTAGATGTATCCCTCCAAACGTGCAACAACTTTCGCCTCATAACTCACCAACGAACATCATTGTATCTTAGCTGGATGATCGTCATACTCAATTCCAAGTGACAGTGAAGTAGTATTTATGTATGTATATATGTATATATGTATGTATGTATGTATGTATGTATGCATGTATGTATGTATGTATGTATGTGCAATGGTCAGCATGCTCGCCTTGCAAGCGAACGAACCTGGGTTCGATCCCCGGCAGGGTGAAACTATGGGCAAGTTTCTTTATGCCATTTGCCTCTGTCTACCCAGCAGTAATTGGGTACCTGGATGTCAATAGATTTGCTGATCGTGTTCCGGGGTAATGGTTTGCCAGTGCAGATGGTGGCGAGTTGTCCGGTCTTCTCGGACTATTCCTTGACTCTGGGTCATGCAACTCGTTAACTCAGGGTGTGGTTGTTGTGTTGGCGACAGCTTCTACACCTTAACAATTCACGCCTAGGTAGCCCTTGGGCCGGCCAACCTCGATTTCGAGTGGCAACCATTATGTATGTATGTATGTATGTATGTATGTATGTATGTATGTAAGTGATTAATGGATAGCTGTGCCATGATATTTTGGGGGGGAATTATAATTGAATAACGTCAGCACTAACCTAACCTATCTAACTTAACCCAACTACACTAACCAAACCTAACTTAACCGAACCTAACCTAACCTAACCTAGCCTAACCTTTATGTTACAGTATGCTATCGAAAGAAATAAAGAAAGAAAGAAAGAAAGAAAGAAAGACAGAAAAAGTCAGGGAGAATGAACAGGATGGAAAGTCCCAGGGGCAGGAAAACGTCAAACAAAGACCAGACAAAGAGAGAGAGAGAGAGAGAGAGAGAGAGAGAGAGAGAGAGAGAAATACAATACACTAGTCAACATATCTAATCATCATTCACAAAACACAATCAGCAGGTGTCACCATTTACGTGTCCTGGCTAGTGCATAGTTAATGGTTCCTTTTTGTAGGTTGGTGTGGGACGTACCATTATTGTGTGTGCAATAATAATAATAATAATAATAATAATAATAATAATAATAATAATAATAATAATAATAATAATAATAATAATAATAATAATAATAATAATAATAATAATAATAATAATAATAATAATTAACGGTTTATTAATAGAGTTGCAGCCGATGGCTGAAAATATACACTTACATTTGATTTAGACATAATGATATAATATGCATTGAATACATTGTATGTGTGTGTGTGTGTGTGTGTCATTCGTCTCGGGAAATAAAAAATACCATTAATGTGTCCACTTCTGTTTTTTTGTTTTTTTTTTATCATTGTGTATCTATTATTATTATTATTATTATTATTATTATCGCTTTCAATATAATTGCTTTTATTTTCATTAACATTATATTATTATTATTATTATT